GGACAGCACCCCATAAGGTACTGTAGTGAATAAATCTAGGGCTATACAAAAAACAATGCAGAGCACTACTGTATATCTGACAGAGGCGCTTGCCATTGATTCACTGCTTTAAAGCCAGCGGAACATATACAGTGACACACTCGCAGGATTCAGTCAAGCAATGGGATGTCCATCACTCAAAGTCACAAGAGAGGCAAAAGGTAGTGTGTGGACACTGCAAGAAGTTACTTTCTTCTTTATTTGTTTCTAATTTAATTATTTTCTATTTAATTATTTAGCTAATGTGCAGAGGGCTTCTCCCTGTCCTCATCTCTCTTCGCTTTCACACCAGGCATGGTCTTGGGTTAAACTTGACTCCTACAACAGACAGCTTTTGGCAGCAGCACAGCACAAAATCTTACTGGGCTGCAAAATCTTACTGGGTTGCCTGAGGCACCTGCCAGTGATGGGTAGCAGTCCCCTGACACGCACTGCTTGCCTGTGGACAGCCTTTATGTATCTCCCTTGCCTTGTGATCTGCAGCTAGCCTGCCCTCTGCCCTGAGGTGGGTAGAAGTGTGCTGATGAGACAGACATGATGCTGACCAGTAATAATACTGTGAATACCAAGAAGTACCCTTAACATTGATTATTAGCAACGTGATGATAATAATACTGGATTACCAGATTTTTTGTATGATTAGATCATCCTATTCCAGCAGGTGGGAAAGCCAGGATGGAAGCAATTCAGGGAGAACAGATAAGGACACTGCCATGCATTCTTGAAAAGCAGTGGACCAAAATCTCAGCTTTAATACTCCTGTATCTAATTGCTAAAGAGCACCTTCACTAGAGTTGGGGGGTTAAGAGACTCAAAAAAGACTTGAGTGCTTTAGAAAGCCTCTGTTGTAGGATGCGTGGCAGATCAGCCATAGTCTAAAGACACGCGTTGTCTCAAGGTATGGGAGAGACTTTGTGAAAGACACACAAAGAAACCAGGTCTTCCCAGTTCAAGGGAGTGCAAAGTCCTCAGCAAAGTCTGGCGTAGTGTATAGCTATACAGAAATATATAGATACATTTTCTCTAAAGGGCTCTTGTGCTTACTAAATAGTATGTTGATTGGGGAAGTCTGTGTGGTCTCTTATGACCACCATTATGATTCCTTGGTGAAACAGAAGTGCAAGGACTGGTACTGAAGCACCAGTACCAGGGGACAGTGGTCTACCATGCATCACCCATCATGCTGGCCCTCCTCCTCACCAGGGGCTCCTGACAGGCCATGCCTTTATCATTGCCCCTGGGAGAACCTCCAAGCTCAGATCCAGAGCCTGTCTGAGTCCTTGCTTCACAGTCATAGCCCAGATACGCCCCACACCTCTCACCCTGATAGTCACTGAAAGCTAAATCCAGGTCCTCCCGCCCCCCGCTCTAACCTGAATAGTCAGGGACCACTGCTTCCCAGCAGGTCCAACACAGCCAGAGAGACAGGCAGAAGGCAGAAGTCTGTCTTTTCCCTCTGCCTGCTAACTTTCAGAGTCCTGTTTTCCCTCCTGTTTTCTCCTTTCTGTCTTATGGTCACTTATACACACTTCTTGAGCAGCTGTGCAGGCACCAGGGGATAAAATGGAGGAGGAGTTTGGGAGAAGCTGAGCAGGCAAAAAAAAAAAAAAGAAAACCATACCCACTTAAAGATTTACTTAGCGCAGAAGGTCTGCATTTCAGAGTAGAAGGTAATGGAGCTGCAAGCAGCCAAGAACTTGGCCTCCAGCATCCATTTCCTATCCCCGAGTCACATGTGGTTATGAGCTGGAAGTTCTGCATCTTAATTCACTATTTTTGCTCCTTGCCTCATAGTAGGTATCACATTTTGGAGTAGTCCATTCTGGTTTGGTTAGAGGAGAAGGTCTTCTAATTGGTTGCTGCAATTTCTGTGTAAAGACTGCCTAGAAATAGGTGCAGTGGCCTATTCATGTGGCTGGAATTCATGTGATGTGGGATCTCCTGCCTTTGCTAGGATATATTTTGCCATCTTGGGCAAAATGCTCCATTTTTGCTTGGATCTACATGTGCTGAGGCATGATACAGGATACACACCAGTGAAGCACTACATTCATGTGAAGTGTTTCTATGATATGCACAAAGGTGTTAATTTGTCTCACGGCTGAGCTAATATTCAGGTGTGTAGTGCTATAAGATACAGTCTCTGCAGCCTTACCCTTACAACTGGTCTGGTGTAAGTCAAGGCACTATTCTCACGGCATGGGAAACAGGCAACACGGTGAAGTCTGCTCTGGAGTCTCTCTTCCAGTTGGTGGATGCAATAATAAAGTCATAACAATTTTCTGGGACTAACTGGAGGTTCAGAGGTTCCAAGCTACATTTAAACAGGATCTGAACAAACAGTTCTGAGCCAAACTGATTCCTGGTGCAACACTAATAAGGCTGGAGGAACTACACCTGGGATGATTTTGGTCCCACACAATATGTCAATGGTCAATCTCTCAATATGCCTGGCTATAAGCGTCTTTAAAAATGACGTTCTCTTTATAGTACTAAACTCTGATCTGCCAAATGTGGCAGCCGATGAGCTCTTCCAAACTAAATACTGTGAGGATTATGCGTAAATGCTGAAGTATCCTAATCAGCCTCTTGGTGAAAATTAATTGATCCATTACAGACAATAACTATTTGCTGAAGTTTTTATTCTGCATTTTTTACTTCCCTAAGTAGCATATGTGATTTCATTGGCTGGCTATTTTAAACGATAGGGGACCATTGGTGAAACAGTACAAATCCCTCTGAAATCCAAAATTGCCAGCTGCAATTATAGTCTGCATCTAGCATCTTCTCTAAGGACTATAAATGCTTCACTACTTTAATTTTGCTTGGCATTTGCATCACTGTATGACAATTACTGAGCAATGGCAAAGGATGGATTCAGTAATGAAGTCTGGACAGTAAAGAAATACTGTCCAAATTGAAATATTCTCTCTATTTCAATCTAATATTCATCAGTCTGTGCACATGGATACATCGCATTTAGATACAAAGCACTGGTAAGACAGGTACCTTCCTTTTTGCTGCTGGAATGTCTGTGGCTTTTTGCATATTAGAAATGAGGAAAGTTGTTTTCTCCTCATATTTCTTGATTCTTTTTAACTACTCAAAAGGATGAGATACTAGTAAATACCAGTAATTAAAAGGTCAGACTGGCAACTATATTATTCAGATAAGGCTTGTGAAATTCTACCAATTTCAGTGATGTTACACTGCTATAAAACGGGAATGAAACAACAGTGGCTCAGCTACTTTTTGAGCTCGTATATACACAGTTTTAATTATTTGAACTATTTGTGATTGCCCCTAAGTCCTAACTATATTAGACGATAAGACCAAGCATTATACCTCAGACTGAATGAGCAGACGGGCAATTGGGGAAACAAACAATATCATTGTGAGAATATGGCGCTAACACAGAAAGGGTTCTGGGTATTGCCAAAATTAGTTTCCCTTGTTAAAAAGAGATATGCTGAAGAAACATTCTTTAATGGGGAAAAAGCAGGTTTTGGAGAGGTGAGATATAAAATATTTATAATAAAAAACACCTGGGGCACAGTGAGTTGTGCAGAGTCAGTGTTTGCAAATGACACTATTTACCTTCATCAGACAGTGCTGTAAAACTTCTGAGAGACCGAAGTAATTTAGGCAAATGGGCAACACACTGGAAATGCTGTTCAATGTCATTGCAAGGTCAAGCAGTGCACAGTAAAATATACTAAGAACCAAAAATTTCAACTCTTCACATGCTTCAAAACAGTTCAAAATCAAACATATAAGCACTGGGACCTTGCTACCATGTGCTGCTCTTTGGGACCCAGAGCTCCATGTGCATCTGTAGTCTAACAAGGTATTAGGCTGAATAAAGACTGGACTAAAAAATCACAGTACCAGCAACAGTGCAGTGCCATCTTGCATAGTTTGGGTATCACTGCTGAGACCCTTCATACTGAAGAATTAGACAGGTGTTGGAGTAGGCTAAGCATGACCCAGCACAAAGACTTTCAAAGACAGACTGGAAAGATGTGGTTAGTTTATTCCAAAGAAGCGATAAACAGGCCATGGAAAAAAACATAGATAAAATGCTGAAAGAGGTATTTACCAGGAGCTCCTATTCTTCGGTATGGTAGTGATGTTCCCCCCTCATCCCCCCCACCAAAAAAAAAAAGGAAAAAAAAAAGAAAACTCACAAGAAGATTCCCAAAAACTGGCTGGTCTTCTCCTTGTGGTTTTCTCAGAGTCACACTGGAGGGCAACTAACAGCATTCACCAGCTCTGCGTACCACCAAGTTGATAATGTAACAGTATTAAATTGATTACAGAAACCATGGCTGGAGCATAGGAGGTTCTTAGATATTTCTACCTGACCTCAGTTTACTAATTCTTGACAGAAATCTTCCACATTTAATGGCCACCCCTCTATATCCCATGCAATACAGAAAACCAGAACAGCTGGTGAGTAACACTGTTATGAAGAAGGAAGAGTCTAGACAGGGTAAATCTGTCCAACCTGACCCAAAAAAAGCAGGTACTGAAGGACGTAAGTATTTTGGATCAGGAAAAGACCCAGCTACTCACAGGAGCTGCAGTCAGAAGCGAAAGTTATACCTCTGCCCTTTGGCTAAACTAATAGCCTATCAAATGGCACCCGCAGCTACAGTCCAAAATGTCATCAAAGCTGAACATTTCCCATTGGTGCACTGAAAACAACCAAATCCACACAGTTCATGCTGATACTTAACACAACCAAAGATCCCATAGGATATGCCAGGAAAATGAAATGGGGCATTGTATGGGAAGTTATATTAGAGCAGAAAGAATGTCTAGAGTCTTACCCGCCCCCCTGGCTTTTCCTCTTGAACATTGTGAACAAACAGATTTCAAATGTTTACAGACTAAGGATAAAATATGCATCCCACCACATATTTCCAAAAGCAAGAGTTAGAAAAATGTTCGTCTCCTACCTTGTTAACTTTGTCCCAATCTGCTGCCTAAGTTCGAGCCTCTCTTCATCAGTCTGCATGGGGAGGATGTTCTTTTCCTCCAGCTCTCGCTTGGAAGGCCTGTTGCTTAGTTTGATAGCTAAAGAGTCCTTCCTGCAGACTTTCATTGCCAGGGAGCCTGTGGGAGAGAGGAGAGGCTCTGCCAAAGGAGGTGTCATCATTTCATTACAGCATGCAGCAGGCAAAGAAGAACTAGCCAAGGGATGATACTAGGCTCTCATTTACATTGGTATGGACTGTGGGAAAAGGGGCATCAATTAACTTCATGTGCTCAATTAACCTCAATTCGTATCATCATAAGGAAAAGCTGAATTTGGTAGGTATACAGGAAAAAGAAATTAAACTATTGCTCCATAGAGGGGAGTGGAGAAGAAGGGCTTGTTTCAGAATTGCTAGTAGCATATGTAGCTTTCTCTAGCACAGTGTTTCTGAACCACGTAACGGAATGAATAATTCAACCTCAGAAACTGGGTGGGCAGCAGAGCTACAGCATGTGGAAAGAGAGAGGTATCTCTCTCTCTTGAAATGTAATATCAAGACATCCAAGCTGACACTAGAAGGAATCAAAAGTCAATCAGAAGCAGCACAGATCTCTATGTACATTAACTGATGCTGCTTCTCAGGCAGTGACAGTGACAAAGACACTGTGAAAACCAGTGGCCTTTCATGGCTCAAGCTTGCTTTCCTAGGCTTACATCCAAAGCAGTTTGAGCAGGGAAGACAGACACAAGCAGACAGAGAGACACAAACCCATGGGAGGTTTTGGGCTTTGGCAGGAGAGTATGAGATAGTGTAGTTCTGCTCTGTTTCTTAGTTTAAGAGCAAAGATTGCTTAATTTCACTTGCAGGGTAAGGGAGGATTCTGAGGAGATGAAATATGCCTATTTTAGAATGTTCTTTGTGTGTGTTTTAAAAAGGGTGTTGCTTGATTGTACTGCTCCCAGTTTTCAGAAGAAAAGAAATCCAAGGCCCTGAAACTTCAGCTCGACCTGCAGGATGACAAGCAGTTGTCATACGCAAAGTACTGGATCTTGTCTTCATGGCAGAGTCCTATGATGCCACACCGAGGCAGGAGATGGGTTTTCTCAGAGAAGTCAGGAAGGGGTCACAGGTCCCTTTCCAGACTGTAATTGCGATATGGCTATCAATTAACCTCTTCTCTTCTTATCTGAGCCCAATTCTCTGATCGTGACCCCGTTCAAAGTATGTGCAGACTTACGATCCTGACATGATTTAATAATTACTGTATATAAAAGCTCTGATTCTCTATCGGTGGCACTTATTTCATCCTCCTGAAGTAACTCTATTGAGCTGGTCTTGACTTAAGCCAAAGGCAGGGCTTCTCTACACCATGGACACTTGGGAACGTGAATCCAAAAGTCAATTTGGAAGTGAACTAATATAAGCCAAAAACAGTCATTTGAATTCTGTCTGAGAGCTACCCAGACAGGGATTCATGTGGATTAGGGAAATCACTATAAATTCATACTACTTGTTATTTTGGATTAATTTCCCAAGCATCCCCATGTAGTCAAACCCTGAGAGATGCAAAAGCCACAGTCAAGAATGAAAATTCAAGGGCCTTGTGCTTCCCTTGTGTATTGAGAGTTCAGAGTAAAAATTAAATAAATGAGAAAGGAAAAATGAAACGAGTCTTACTTGTAAATAATGAGTTATCCTCATCTTCATCTTCCTCTTCCTCTTCTTCCTGTCTTGTGTAGAGGCAGGAAGAATCTTCATAGTCGGTTTCATGAGGCACATTTTCTTTATTGTCATCGCATTCGATCACAACAGTTGGCACTTGTCTCATGTCTGGAAGGCCCCCAGGTCCTGTTTTTGTAACAGTGTCACCTGTGTGTAAACCAGAGCTGTTGGGAAAGAAAAACAAATAAATAAACTAAAGGAAACAGCTCAATGGAAGACTGAGTTGCTTCTCTCACTGTATTTAGGAAAGTCGTGGTCTTTCATTCTTTTTTGAGAAGAAACGAGGACAGAAAGATCTTCATGACCAGCAAGACTTCTAATGGGTTTAAACGGAGTACACATTAGATTTAAGCTACAACAGTTGTTAGGGAGAGGAAGGACAGCATGCAGGCAGAAATACTGGCAGCCAGGACTGAGAATTACAGATCTGTGGCAAGCGCAGTCTCAAGGCTTAGTGAGAATTTCACCAGCTACTCAGAGTGATGATAAGCACGTCTTCAGCCTGGTGCCCGTGTGACCTCTCCACTGGCGTGCAGGCAGTAAGGAGAAAATGTCTCACCTGAATGCAAAAGGTGGAGTAAGAGAGTGGGAGGAAGGAAAGGTATAGATTGTAGAGGAGGATTGTAGAAAGGCAGAGGGAAACCATGACTTGCACTCCTTGGGCAAGAAGATGTTGACTGACTTGAGGGGAACACAAGGGCACAACTCTGAAGCGCAGGGGACCTAGCATGTCAAGCTGGGCTTGGAGAAAAGAGACTTTGGGAGCTGGTGAGAGTGACAAGGGAGGGAGCTAAAACCTGGGAGGTTTGTTTGCTAATGGCACAGTTATATGTTGTGGGGGCTGCGGTGACGATGTCCCTTCTCCCGCCCCGGCTCCTCACTCCAGCCAGGTGCTGGAGATCAATCTGAATTGGAGCTAACATCATATTTCTTTTGTCACGTAAAGTGTGATTGATCATTTCCTGCAGCTTGCTAGGTTAAGACCTGTGGTCAGTACTGCTACTGTCTAGCTCTGTTTATGTGTTGATTTCAAAGCCCTTTACCAAGGAACATACCAATACAAGTAGGGAAACAGGAACACGAGGAGGTGAAGATCAAAGTCAAACAAAAGGTGAAAGGAAAAGTCAGGAACAGAACCAGGTTTCCCAGCCCATTTTTATCTAATAGCTCATGTTGCTTTTCCAATGTGAAATGAGAATGGGAGACTGGCAGGCAAAACTGATGGTTGCTCAGGTTTATTTGTGAGTCAGCAGAAACTGCCCTCTCTCTTAAGTCCCAGCTGAGGCAACAGCTGTATGCAAGGTGGGGAACATTTGCCTGTTGGACACCCTCTTTATGTCAAACTTCCATTTTACTTTCCAGAAGAACATAGGTGTGAAACCAGATGCACTGGCCAGGTTGCACTTGCGGCACACAAATTTGGGTCTGACTTTACCGAGTGCTGAGTAGCCTCAATTCCCTTGAATATTTTAGCCTGCTCAGAATATCAGAGGCATTCTGCATCTTGAAAAAATGTTGTATTCTTCTCTTTAAATGATTTTCTACTGAGTCAACTTGAAACATTTCTTTCTTCTAACCCTAAAGTTAACATGGACTCTTAAATGGCTGCCAGATAACATCCCAGAAAGCCTTTTTAAAATGTACTTCTGGGTATATAATGCTAGTCCACAATGTGCTTAGGGATTAAGGAGAAGAAAAGGCTTCAGATCCTGTGAGCAAACCATACCATCTGTTACTATCTTCGGCTTCAAAGAAATCATTTTGTTAATTGCAACATTTACTATTGCAGACAATGAGATGCATAGCTTTACTGGATGCCTTAAAGAGAGGAACTCCATTTTCTTAGTGATAGTCCATGTTTTGTACCACAAAGTAAGAGAGATTCATGAAGAACTGGCTTGTGAATTTTTTTATTAGACTTCAATAAGTTTGACCCAAAAAATTTTAACCCAGAAGTAGTTTTAAAATTCATCAGATGAATTCTTCTAACGACACATAAATGCATTACAGTCTTTAAAAAATTTCAACTAACTTAATTTACTGATATGCTTTAATAATTTTAATTTTATGAATTTCATATTAAAAATCTGTTTTCTCTGTAACGTATTTTTTGTGTAACTCTTTTTAAGAGGAAAGGTAGGAAATTCAAACACCTGGAATTAAATTTCCAAGAGAACCTAAAATGCTGTGAAATTCTGTTATCATTGCTAAAAAAAAAGAGAAATAAAAAACTTCCAATGGTGAACACAACCACTGGATCATTCAGTTAATTTTAAAACAATACATACACAGCGAGTAAGTACAAGTTCACTAAGTCCCTTCTGGAAGCACAAATGAAGGGAGCAAAAAGTAGTTCAGCATCCAGGACCATTTGGTGCTTCCCTGTTCTGTGAAGGATGTATGTAGGTTACAGATGCATCCTTACGGGCATGCACATAGGGCAGCAGATATCAATTTAGGTTACCAAGCAGGTATCGGATGGCAACAAGATTACAAATTACCACAGAGGATCTTTATTTGAACTAGTGATCTAGAAATAGGCGGCTTCTCATCTCATTGTAATTTTTCTGAATCTTCCACTTTCTTGATAATACTACTTTCTATTTTAAGCCCCTCATTTTTCCTGGTGTTTTGTGTTCTTCTTGATTAAAATCAGCCTTTTCCACAGCATTTTGACTAAGTCAGCTGTCTAAGCAAAGCACTTATGAAATACAGGCAGTACTGCAGTATACTTAAGAAAGACAAATCAAGGTCACTGGATATTTCCATTGTGTATAAATTCCTCTGGGTCATTAGCAAAAACCCCACATGGTCAGGTGGTCTATGCCACAAAATTTTTTAGCATTATTTACCAAAAAGCACACTATTGTTTCAAACAGTCCATTTTAAATCAGCTTCACGTTTTGCAACACAATTAGAGAACAAAGCTACAGCTAAGCAAATACTTGTTTTAAGAAGATAAATATATCTTAACATAGATTTGAATAATTCATAGCTGACTAGTACAAGCACTTGCAATTTCTGTTGCATCATCTTTACTGATCAAAACAGCAAAAAAGTTACACCATTATAGCTTACAATGTTTCTAGTGAGAAAATATTTTAATGAAAAGTCAGAATTTAAGCATGTGAGTGACTCATGGTACAGACAAAATCAAAAAAGAAAAAAGTGAAATCCCTCCTGTAAAATCTAGTGGGAAAAAACCGCACGCTTCTCATCTGTCATCCCAGGCTTTTTGATTTTGGAATAAAGAGTTACATTTTTATCAGCATATTTTCAGGTCCACAGTACACTCTTCTGTACTTATCAGTTAAAACAAAAATCTGAAAAAAACTTCAAACCATTCTATATACGTTTCTACAATACAGGCATATGTGTGAGAGACAGAGAGAAGACAGAGCTATAAATATTAAGTGTTTCTATCCTTAGGCAATGCTGAAGTTTAGACAAAAAGCAATTCTCTTGACAAGTTTTATGGAAGATAAATGTTTTCTGACTCAAATACATTTTATAAGATTTACAAGACACTGGCAGGAATGTCTAATGCATTTCATTTCATAAATCTCCAGTCTGAAGCTGAACTGGGTGTCCCAGAGGAACTGGTCTCACACACTGTCTTTTTGGACACAGCGATTTTTCACTGCTCTGCCACAGATGCAATTCTAGCCTGGAGTGAGATATTGCTGCTTACCAGCTCTTTAGTACATACATTGAACAAACTGAGGCCTAGATTCAGCGGCTAGTGTACAAGAGCCCACAGAGTAATTGAAATTAATTGTCGTTTTACCAGACAGACTGAGAACTATAAGGGCAAGGCAGAAAATAAGGCTATTTCAGATCAAGAAGCTGCCTCCCGAAGTCAAAATTAAAGATACATTCCAGTGGCACAAGAGAGTTTCTAAAGCTTCTTTTGCTGCTGTTCGTGGCTTTTGGGCACGGTCTTTCTTCTCAAATTCATTTCAGCCAGGAGGATGAAACCTTCTGCGGATTTTGGTGGCAGGGCTTATCAGATTTTCAGCAACTCTTAAAATGCATTCTGATATGGCAAAAAATGATGCCCGAATCTAGAGTTTTACTTATGCTTGACACATACCCTTTGGGCTGAAGGGGAAAGTCGTTTGCAGTAGGGCACAAACTGGCAACAGAGGTTGCAGAAAAAAGGTTACGTGGAAATAAGACTCTTCTCTGTTTCAACTTAATCTATCATAAAGCTGGTAATTTATCAGGGAAAATAGAGGCAAACTGGCAGCACAAATGACATGTCATAATAGTCATACTATGATAAGGGACAGATTGCCCTTCTGAGAATAGGTTATGAATAGATGTTACGAGTACCAGAAAATGTTTGCAATCAAAAGCGTTAAGTGTGCAAATGAACTTAATGCTCTATAATGTCTGTAATAAAACTGAATAAAAAAATCCAGGAATTAACTGCCATTTTAAGTCATAAGAACAAATGGGACTTGAATAGCTATTACACGCTTTTAGTGTACCTTAAGACATTAACTTATTAATATGCACTAGATCTAGGTGAGGCAGTAACATGCAACCACTCCTGCAGAGGGGAAAATAGAGGTAGAGAAGCTCAGTAGCTTTCTCAAGGTCAAAGACAGCAAAATAACTTCTGGCTTCCAGGCCGGTACAGAGGGACAGCTCATTTTTCTCTGGCAAGCTTCTGGCTCATTAGCAAAGCACTGATTTCAAGTATCAGTCTTCAGAGTATCCTAATTCCAGAGACCTCATCTGTGAAAGCAAAAAATCCAGACTGCTAGAGGAAGGGGATGTTTTAGTCTTTCATTGTTTGTTCCCGTCACACTCACAGTCCCGGCGGAGAGAAGAGTTGTGAGGTCTAAGAAGAGTTTACTGGGCAAAATGTGGAATTGATACAAACTGGTTATGGATTCAGTGAATATCAATGGAGTTTAACCAACTTGAGGAGCTTCCACTGCAGTAGGAGCAAAGAAACTAGACACAGGGAAGGAAAAAAAAATTCTCCTCAAGGGAAAAAAAGACAAAATTTAGAGCAGAATACTGATCTGCACTTGTCTACATGATCCTCCCATATTAAAAACAAAATACTACTCTAAATAATCCCCCAAATTACCAGACTTGGCAGCATTATTACTGCAGCATTATGGCAATTATTCTATGATGTTCTAGGATTGTTTCAAGATAAAGACTGAGATCAGCAAAAATAAATGCTGCCAATGAACTTAGCATTCCCCAGAAGGTGCCTCAGAGACTTGTCAGGCTCTCTCATCTCCTCAAGATTATTGACCCAACAACAGTGACCCAGTAGCATGTTATCTTGGAAGGAACAGTAAAGCTCAGGATCCCACTGCATATCCTATGCGTGCAACAGATGTGAGCACACTACCAATTTTTAAATAGAGGAAAGCAGATCTAGGATCTGTGCAGTTTTAAAAAGCCCTCAAGACTTCTGGGCTGAAGTGTCCAATGACAAATGCTGTCGTATGATTTCCGCTGGGTTTTAATCCAGATTTTATGCAATTATGGGAAAAGAACTACTGTCAAAAATACTAGAAAACAGCAGCATTTGGTGCAGATAATCCTCTCCCAAGTTAAAAACATATATTTTAAAAATCTGCACAAATTTTCAAGAAAAGCTAGCAAATTTACTAAGATCACAATGTGGCATGAAAAAGCAATTTAAGAATTTAACAGCAAGTGTCAGCTCCACAGACCCTTTTATGAAAATAACAACCGCTGTTGCAGAGGAAACAGTCATCACCTATTTTCTCTCTTGTGAATGCAAACATTACTGATTTGTTTTGACTAGGAGAATAACTGAAGTACTCAATACTTCATTTCATGATTGAAATAATAGTTAATCAACACAAAAAGGCCATGAAAAATCAACTGTCTGCAATATCATGAACTAGGATTCATTTTCACTTAAAATGTGAAATATCAGTGCCACAACCTTTTCTTATTTTCTTCTCCAAAGGGAGGCAATTGCTTCATACCCGGAAATGAATCCTTGCTTATTCAGTTTTTAACAAGCAGACGACCTTCAGCTTCAAATTAATAGCTAAAACCAAATAGCATCACCTTCTTTAAATCAGTTAAACGTATTTGTAGACATAAACATGATGGATGCCTAGAAATCGGAGCATTCATTGCTGTGGGGCAACAGATGCCACAATGAAGTCATACTCTGAGAGATGTCACTGGGCTCAGGATAACAAAGTGCCTTCTGCACGCAGTGTGAGCCAGACAGTAAGACATCTGACCTATGCTGGGGACGGCATGGGCAGTGCAGCCCCAAAGGAGCCTTTGGGAGACACCAGCTACCCTCTGCGCTCGATGCACCAAGCTTTGGGGTCATGCAGATGCATCTGACCAGCGCTGCCGGCAATGTGAGAGGTAACTGGGTAGTCACTGGGCACAAGAGGGAATGTGGATGCTTCTTCCAGTCCTACCACTACAGCCCTTTTACTGATGGGAGGAGGAACCTCCCTTGCAGCCCTAACAGTTTTCTCCCAGCAGAGATTTCCCCCGTGCTGCAGAAACATCATCCCCCCCTGCTATAACCACAGAGGTCTCGCTATCCTGGTACTAAAATAAGCTGGCAGTGTGGGACAGCCTCTGGTCCCCTGACTGTTTTTCATGCAGTAAGGAGAATCTGCCATCCCCAATCCAATTCTTTTTAACTATGAACTATAATGAAGGTAACATTATCACAAAGAGGTATTGGGGCAAATCATTAGGTCTGTTAGACCAAGTATTTTCACTTCCTGTCTAAGAGAAGGATTATCTGATGCTCCTAGAACAAGCTGGCTACAAAGCTGCCCTTGGTACTAAATAGAACATGCCATTTTTTGGACTACCTTCCCTATTCTGGGACTTGCTCAATTTTCCTCTACAAGATGAAATAGATTTTCCAAAGCTTACTGATTTTGCAGTCTATGAGGACAGCTTGCATTTATACAACATGTTTCACTTACTCAGCCTATTTGAAGCAGTGTTCAGAGATACCCGCAAGTGACAGTAATAGAAAACAGCCCCAAGGTGGGTAAGAGTCTCCTGACCAAATGTACAACCTTCCTCCAGATGCATATGGCTAAGAAGGTAGCTGCTGTGGAATGGGTTAAATACTTATTTTAAGATCAAATGTATAACTTAATTTAAATTAATTGAAATAGCATATTAAAACCCCACCGAGTGACTTGTAGGAAGTCCTCATAGGTTGTTTTGAGCTAACTGGTAATACTAATCTGATGCCCTGGTTGAGTGGCATATTTGGTTTTTATTGCTTTTTTTTTGAATCTTCTACTTCCTCTCCTTTCTTTTTGGCAATCTGCCATAAACCAGAGCTTTGCAGTTATACACTCTGCAGTATACATTGCAAGCCAGGCATGTCCTATTAACATCTTCTCCACTGGCTGTATTATCTAGTTCCTTGAACATGACAACGGGATTCAGGAAATTTGGTCTTTTTCCCCTTTCTGCCACAAACTTGTCAAACCAGTCAAGAAAGGCTCTTTCCCCATCTCTGTTTCTCCAGCAATGACTGCCCTGAAGTTGTTAGACCCCCAGAGGAGAGGCCTCATTCAAGTACTATCAACATAACTCAAGTGGTGATATTCATACCGAGGTTAGCAGGAAACAGTGCACATCAATATGTAATTTTAGAAGTTGATCCATTACCTTTCTAGCCTTTGCATGGTCATGGCTAGCGTTTTGTTCAGTTCCTCTATCATCCGGCACCCTGAAGGGTGAATAGGCAATGTGCTGGACCCAGAAGGCAGGTGCTGGCTGTGGCTGCCGTACTGGAGCTGGTGCTGGTGAGCTGCTAACTGGGATGGCAGGACAGTGTGATGGTGCTGGGTCAAAGGCTGCTGGGAGCTCTTCTGCGTGGAATAGGATGAGAGAGAGAGGTCTGGCCCCCCTAAAGGCATGCAAATCATGACTTTCTTTGGAGGTAGTGGAGGTGACAGTTTAACTGGCATACAAGGCAGTTTCACAGGAGCGCCAGGATCTAAAACAGAAGAAAGAGAGGCCCTGGTGTTAATTTTCACGTCAGTAAGATGGAGATCAGAGTATCTGCCTGGGCGAGCAGGTACTGAGGTTGCTAGTAACATGGGAGTGTGCACCCCTTCCCTGCTGCGACAGACAACTCTGCATAGTGTGCACTCAGCATCATCTTTGGAAAAAATACTATTGTTTTGCAGCACTTCCGAGTCTCACAAAAAACAGCCCAGGGCGGCGCATGCCCCTTAATAAACACGTTAAGCAACGCTTAACAAGGCTCGTGGCACACTTTGACGCTTTAAAGCCCTAATCCTCCAAAACAGCCCTGTGAGGTAATCGCGATGCCTCCTGCTCAGCAGGCACGCAAAGAGGGGAAGAGCAATTTGGTATCTGAAGGTACAGGATGACTCACCCTGGAGCAAAAGCTCAGGGGCTCCTGATCCTTCTCAGCCACTGCAGTGGAATTACTACAAGTCACATTTCTTACAGCTTTGCAATGTGCAAAAATCTGGTGTTAAAAATTACATTACAGGGCAAGAGAGAAAAGGAATAGGATTTGAATACTAAACAGGAGTGGTCTGGAAAAACAAAGGGTACAGGAGGAGACAATGATAAAGGGCTGAACATTGTTAGGATTAACGTATTCTTTTACAGAAGACTTGGCAGGCACTTTTCTCTGGACTCATGCATTGAATTTTAACCTTTTTAACTCTAGGCATGTTCCTTGAATCACACAGTTGACCTGCCAGGCAAAGACTCTCCTGACTTCCATGGGAAATCAATGAAAGGTCCACAAGCAAATCTCTCTGCCAGGACTCAACTGCAGGATGGAGATTTTTGGAGTTGCACTGTCAAAAGTTTTCAGAAGGGAAAAGAAGTTAATGGGAGGGCTTGTAGTTCCCAAGATGAGTGTGGGGAATAGCCACCACATATGCTAAGAGCAAAAATGAGAGCAAATATATATGCTGTAAGCTGCAACTGTGAGTTTGTGTTTAGGAGGAAGGCCAGGCCCTTTCCAGACTGGAACACCACAGACATTTGGCTCTGCAATGCAGCTCTGTGGGTATCCTGGTTTCGGCTGGGATAGGGTTAAATTTCTTGCTAGTGCTGTGTTTTGGATTTAGTATGAGGAGAATGTTGATAACACACTGATGTTTTCAGTTGTTGCTAAGTGCCCTCCTAGTCCAAGGACAGCTCCCATGCCTACTGACTGAGCTAGGTACACAAGATGGGAGGGAATATAATCAGGACAGCCAGCCCAGCTGGCTAATGGGGTATTCCATACCATGTGATGTCATGCTCAGTATATGAATGGTAGGCGTGGTCCAGGAAGTACCGATCGCTACCTGGTTATCGGTCAGCGCGGGTGGTGAGCAATTGCACTGTGCATCACTTATTTTGTATATTTTATCATTATCATTATTATTTTCCCTTTTCTGTTCTATTAAACTGTCTTTATCTCAACCCACGAGTTTTTCTCACTCTTACCCTTCCGATTCTCTCCCCGTCCCACTGGGGGGGAGGGGAGTGAGTGAGTGGCTGCGTGGTATTTGGCTGCCTGCCAGGTTAAACCACAACAGTGGGCAAGGCTTGCATGCTCTTTGGCCTCTTGTTGCTTCAGTCACTCTTCTTGCTGTAACATGGTAAAGGAACTGAAGGGCTAGAATCTTCTTTTGACCTGAGAAAGCTTGGGAGTAAGATGTTGCCCTCCAGGTTTCAAAGGTCATCACCCTCCTGAGCGCTATCAGATTTCTAAAGTCCTTTTCCAGATGGTTCTTCTTAGCATTAACTATCCTTCTCCTTGCCCCATTTATTCCTTCCTCCCTCCTGGCCTATCCTGGGTATTGCCTGTATTAGTATCCGTATCTACTAGCCAGGGTGCACAAGGTTGATACTAGGACTTCCAAGCACTTCCTGAAAATGATTAAGGACAGTAATGTGGAAAAAGACCATGCATGGAGCCAAGCTCAGATATGACATTAGACTTTTTTTAGTGCTAGTCATCATAGCTTCACTGCATCCACAGTATCCACTTGATACTAGTGTTTTTACTATGCTAGGAACAACACACCGACAGCAAGTCTTCCCTTTCTTCAAAGGGCTTATAGGCTAAAGACACAGGAGAGGCAAAGGGTGCGCAAAGATGAAATAGAGGCATGGAGAGAAAGTGGTCTTTCCATATTGCAGAGTGGGAGAGTTACAGAGAATAGAACTCAAGTCTTTCAGCTTTCAATGCAATATCATATCCACTTGACATGTCTCTTGAAGGCAAAAATTCTTCTAATGGCTCCACCAAGGCTGAAATCTAACTCATGGGATTGCCAAACCACAGGGCACTGCCCTCTCCTCTAAAGCAGATTGTCTTCTACACAGTAGAAAAAAAATACTTTCAGGATTTTCTATTCAAGCACAGGAAGGTCTCCAAGTTACTGTGTTTTTCTTACATACATGTTATCTGTTTATATTTCCTCTTTGTATCCTGCATAAAAGAACACACCATCTTCAACAAAAGATAAATAACAGAAAGAGTAAAGAGTAAACTGTATAGAGCCCTGAGAATAAGGCTCCTATGGGATTTGTAGTAACAAAGTGTTTTCATACATTTGTGCTCCTTGCCATTTCACTTCTAGAGCTGGTCCTGAATTACAAAGACTACACTGAGATCCGCACTTCCATTTTGAAAAGTGCAGGTTTGACTGTTGGTTTTAGATCCTCTTCTGCTGTATCTCAATTAACGTCTTCATCTGACAGTGCCTGTGCCTGGATGCACCACGGCCCTGTGTATGAGGCAGGGAAGTCATCCTTAATGGTGAATTCAGATCCCAACTGCAGGCATCTCTTGCTTCTGATAAAAGAATAACTGGAATTATCAACTGGGTTTGCTGCCTTCTGTGATCCCGAAGATTAGAGCAATATTGTATGCTGGGAGTGAGTATAACATGCCAAATGGTTCAGGTATAAAGCAAACAGGAATCCTTCCATCTTTCTTCTAAAATATAGGGAAAATTTCTTTTCCTTTCTCATGCAAGCATTCATCTAGTACAGTTGTGACAGAGGCACTGCAGCTTTGGAGTTGCATAGGAGAACAAGTCTAGCTTTATCATCCTGACTAACCACATACTCCATCATGAATCAGATGTGCATACTCTGGTTTCCACTCTTCACAACAAAGGTATGGACCTTTAGTTTCCACTTAAATTTAAAGAAATCCTTCACATCCTTCACATCAACATATTTTCAGTGGCATCAACTGTTGCAGATCAGTGCTGACTCCACTGGACACCTGCCAAAAATCTTGTCCATTATTTTTAACATAAGGCTTTATTCAGACTGACTGTGTTTCACCCAAGTTCTTGAGCCTGTCTGAATATGGCCCTAATACCTCAATAGAGCCTTGAAATTGAACCAAAGGCATTAATTCTACTTGTCTGCCCTTCACCTTCAGGAGAATTCTACTTGTCTGTTAAAAAAAAAAATGGCTAAAAGGAGAACAACTGCAATGGGAGGAGAGTTCGATCCACTCGCTTGGAAAAGTATCAGTATATCTTCACCGACATCAGTAATGGAGACCTTGTACTGCAAGCTTTACTGTGTGGTCAGATCAGTGAGCGTGCTGAACAAATGGGGCCTTGCTCAAATCCATGGGCTCCAGGCATGCTGTTGGAAACTGCACTACCAACATCTGGAGCAAACGAGAGAACAACTTGTCCCTGCGTGTAAGAGCGAAATGACTGCATTTTACAGTTCTTTCCTCTGTTTTTTTTTTTAATTTCACAATGTATGTGATGTATGAACAGTTATTGTCTTCAGCATGGAATAGCCATCAGACATGGACATCTGTAGATGAATAAGAAGCTGGACAGTGGAAATATGAACAAGGAATCTGTGATAAGTGTCTTCTCAGTGCAATATTACCAGAGTCCTAAATCATTGCACAAAGCACTCATGTGACAGAAGAGAAGCAAACTGTGTGAAGCCAGGTGTGCAAGTCTGATTAATCTCTTTTGGCTGAGGTTCTTCATGCTCAAGAGAATAATGAGCAATTTTGCAAGATGTTGGTTCCCAGCAGGGTGCATGGTTAAGTAATAATTGTGCCAGAATTGGTGAAAGAGATGTTAGACATAGAAATCTTCCCACTGCTGATCACAATGAATTACTTAAAAGACAGCTGTGGATGACACAAGACTTGCTGCACATCAGACCCATGACAAACAGGTTAGCCCTTACCCCTTCCATATAAATAATTTTGCTAATACCTACATTTGCTGCATTTCCTCTTGGGTTTTTCAGGAGACAGATAAATGTACTTTTATTCGCTGCTCAGAAGGTCTGCCCATGTATGGTTCTTCTGATGTGTTTGCGGCACACTGAAGCTGGTACACTAACTACACTAAATCTGATGATTCCTAGCGACTGAACATGGCTGGAGAGTTGGTCAGCACATGTTGCAGATACACCTGTTGCAGACAGAGTGCTAGGAAGTTCTGGCTGTATGGCAGCAAATATTGCTCCAGCAGGGCTGCTAGAAAAGCTCATTAAAATCCTCAAATCCTCCCCCAGCACAACTACTGCGTGGAGTAAGAAGGCACGCCTGGGAATCCCGGGCTTGTGGCAGAGCTGGCTATGTTTGCTATCCTGCCAGTGGGAGAAAAGCTCTTTCTCGACTCCTTGTGATGCCAAACAGGAGCCAGCATTGTACCCCGACAGCAAAGAAGACCAACAGCCTCCTGGGTTGTAGGAGTAGAAGCACAGCCAGGAGATCAAGGGATTATTCCTGTTCTATTCAACACTCCTTGGACTAGATCTACATTACCGTGTCAAGCTTTGGGCCCCCCAGGAAAGACATCAAAAACCTAGAATGAGTTGAGTAGAGGGCCACCATGACAGTTGAGGGCTGGAGAACCTGACCTGTGAGGAGAAGCTGAGGGACCGGGGCTTGTTCAGCTTGGAGAAAAGATAGCCTGCAAGGGGGAACCTAACAGCAGCCCTACCTATGAGGAGGTTATC